CACTGTGAGGAGGGCTGGGCACCCCCTGACTGCCGTGCCCGGATCCGAGGTAGCAAGGCCTGGGGACAGGGGCAGCCGGAGGGCAGAGTGGCTCACCCTTTACCCCTCTTTTCCCCACCCCTTCACTGCTGGCTCCCTGACTCTCTGTGACCCCTGACCCCCTCACTTTCTCAGCACCTGACTTTACTCCCTGCCCCCTGCCCCTTCCTGGGTGTGGAGTTCTCAGCCCTGCTCACCTTCAAACCTGCCTTCACCCCACAGCCTCCAGGTCCCTGACCACAGGGCTGCTCCTCAGCCTCCTGTTGCTGCTGATCTTGGTGCTGCTTGGTGCCAGCTACTGGTACCGTGCCCGCCTGCGCCAGCGACTCTGCCAGCTCAAGGGACCCAGCTGCCAATACAGGTACCAGCCTCCCTGCTCCCAGCTCCCTCCACAGTTCTTTTGAGGACAACAGCCTGGGGCCCTGCCCCTACCCCCTCTGCAGCCCCTGCCACCTGGCTCTGACCCCAAGCCCCTGGGGCCACAACCCATGCACCTCCCTTCCCTCCATGTTCCCTGGAACTCTTCACTTCACACGTAGACGGGCAGACCTGAGTGGGTAAGCTGGGATGCTAGGATCACCTCCCCCAGGAGGCCCTGTGCTGGGGAAGTGGGGTTCCCAGGCTGTTCAGCTTCTGCCCCCCACCCATGGGGCCTAAGCCCCACACATGCTCCTCTCAAGGGGTTGCAAAGGGTCAACCCCACTCAAAAGTGGCATATGGGTGAGAACAGGGTCTGAGGCTGAGCCCTTTCTCCATGCTCAGGGCAGCTCAGCCTGGTCCCCCAGAACGCCCAGGACCCCCGCAGAGGGCCCTGCTGATGCCAGGTGTCAAGGTGAGTCCTGAATGCCAGAGGAGAGAGGGCCCCATTTTGGCCCGGCATCCAGCTTGGGCCCTGGGGTGGGCCCAGAGAAAGAATCACAGCGCCCAAGAGTCCACCAAAGGAGTCGGGCCAGCCCTTTCCTCCCTCCCGGCTGCAGACTGAGAAACAAAGCCCAGCCTGGAGTCGGGTGGGACGGTCGCCTAGAGAAGGGTCTGCTGACCTCTGAGCTAACCACGCTGGTGGCTTTGAGACCACGCTGGGTCCCTGGAAGGAAAGGGAGGGTGGGACCCAGGATGGCCTTCAGTGTCCACTAGGTATAGAGGGGCTGGTGAGTGTCCTTGCCCTGAGCCCTCTGCATCTGATGATAGAAGTATGTGTGTGGAGGTGGTCTCCGTGCCCACTCTACCACTGGTCACCCCCTCTGCATGCAAATGAATAACGGCATGCAAACCCCCATTGTCCCGGGGGTCCTAGCTGCCCCTCCCTGGGCACTAACCCTCTCTGCCCACATCTCTCTCTCTCTCTCTCTCTGCTCCCTCCTCCTCCCCACTCTGCCTGTTGGCTCCTCCTGCTATCTCAGCAGCCTAGTGCTCTTGGCTTCCCGGCACCCCCTTCAAGGCCACTGCCTCCTGACCCTGTGCCCAAGAAACTCCAGGTAAATCTGGGCCAGGCCCTGCCCTGGCTCAGGGCAGGCGGGAGGCTTGGTGCCCAACTGCAGTTCTCCTCCCTGTTCCCTGCCAGTGGTGCTCTTCATTAGGGGACCCAGGTGCCCCTCAGCCTTCAGACACTCTGAGCCCCAGAAGCAGCAAAGGGTGAGCCTCCTGCCTTGGTTTCTACCACCATCTGGTGGTTAGTGGCGGGACTGCAGCGGGCCAGGGACAGCACGGTGACCATACCTTCCTCCCCCAGACATCTGCTGGCATGCACCCGAGCCCTGTGCGCATGTCCCGATGCTCCTGCCCTCTGGCTGTTGTGCATGTCGATCTGAACCCCGTGGGAGCACCTCTGCATGCTCACTGCCCCTCGATGTGCTCTCACAGTCACTGCCCCTCTCTCTGTTCAGGCTGCGCTGGCTGACCGACCTAATCCCCCCACCCGCCCTCTGCCCGCTGACCCGGTGGTGAGGCACCCGAAGGTAACAGTGGGGGGAGAGAAGGTCACAGCCTTTGCCACCATCCGGGCTGTGGTGGTTGTGGCCGTGGCGAGATCTCCCCTCTGTGCTGAGGCACATACCCCACTGGTACTCTTATGGTGACGGATGGAAACAGAGAAGACCTCTGGTCCTCCCCCTCCCCCCAACAGCTGGTGTTCCCCAGCACCAGTACATGGGGGGGGGGGATGCTAACATGAC